CAAATTGCCTCCGTACCGCATGCCTGGGTTTCGTAATGTTATTGCTTTCTATCCCATCATACACTAATGAACCACTGAACAAATCAGTCCAGATAAACAAAACGAAAACCTGCTTTATGAGTATGCTAAACCTACCGTCGCTAGAGTAAAAGGGGTTTTCCAACGAGGAAAGCAGTTGCCACTTTTAAGCTCGCCTCGATAGACATAATAAATGTTGCTGCTTGAATGGAGGGCCGTTTTGAAATACATCTTGTGTGATTGGATTGCGACGCGCAATCTCAGTGCAGACCGCGATTCACATTGAAGTGAACCTTGGTCATTCAATCACTAGGACCGTATGTAATGAAGCAGAAGGAAGTTGGGTGTTGCCCGCCGGAAAACACTGCACAACCACGACCCGTTTCGATATCGTTTTATCTCATCAAGTGAAGATAGCGGACCTCGAACCCCCAACCATTAGAATAATAGCCGCAACCGCTACCCCTTTAGCTACCGGGTCACGACGGGCAACGCTTGGCACAACGGTTAATGACAGATATCGAAACGCGTCGTGGTGGTGCAGTGTTTTCGGACGGGCAACACCCATCGTAGCTAATCGTTCCATTTCCCCTTTAAATTTGGCCTTTTGCGAACCACTTTGACATTTTACCAAAATTGGACAGTTTGCAAAGCGAACTGGACACATTGCTTTCTAAGCAGTATAGGTTCGCCCACACACCAACACAAAATACGCGAAGGCCCATAGAGATACAGGGGTATCCCGTTCACCGACTTTGATTGAGGTGTACGACGCCCGTGATCAAGAGGAGGGCTTACACAATCGCTCACGGCTGGCACAGTTCCATTGCATTAGGATGAGCACAATGTGGTCTGAATATCGTCTAGTTTAGCTTTACTTCCCTGTCTTTGATAACAAACTTCAGCAGGCCAGTAAAGCTGGAGTGGGTTTGGTGGAGTCGTGACTGCCTATACTGTTTCAATAGTCGTGCAGCTGCATAGGTTCCCTCACTCACCCGCATAAAAAACGCGAGGGCCCATAGAAGGACAGGGGACTACTGGGTCACCGCCTATCCGCTACATCAGCTACGGTCCCAGTGATTGAATTGGCCAAACGTTACTTCAGTGGGAATTGCGGTCCACTTTTACATTGCGCCTGACAATCCATTCACAAAACAAGTACTTCACAATGATCCTCCAAGGCTAGATAATATCTGATTAAGTCATAAGAGACTACGTGAATCGAGAGTCTGACTAAACATTAGTTACACAGCTGCACAGGTTCATGTGTAATGGCACAGGCACATGAACTACATGAATGCCGATGTGGAGAGAGGGGGCAATTTGGTCACTGCCTTTGATTGAGCTGATCTTGGTTCATGATTAAGAGAAGGGTTTGAAGTGGCACCCAATACACAATTCGGTTGCATTATTATCACTACAATGTAGTCTGAACATCGTCTAGTCGCTCTACTTCTCATTTCTTCCTAGCAAATCGCAGATTTTCTCTAGTATGAAATGTGTCCAATTCGCTTTGCAAACTGTTCAAGTTGTCTTGCAAAACGTTCAGTTACTTGCAGAACGTCCAAAGCTTTTTACAAAATGTCCAAAATAGTTTACAAAACGTCCAATTTAAAGGGAAAATGGCATATCATGTATCTGTTCCACCTGCATTGTGTTTGTGACAAGTGAAGATCATCGTAGACATTAGTCTCTATAATCTTCGGGCTGTAGCTTCTGTGATCGACTGATTTTCCGTCAGTAGCCCTGACTGTCTCCAGGTTAGTCGGGTCGTTCTCATCTTCGAATTCGTGCTTGGATGATCGGTGTCTATTTGTTCTACTGATCGCGCCCCTTTGCAAGAGAAAAAGTACTTGTGTCCTAGTGCTTGATGATGATCCTATCGCTCGAGTTATACAACCGTCCGATACTAAGCCGCTTCTCAGCAGACAACACGGCACACGCTCTTGTAATTTTATCTGTGTGCTATTGCTGCGCTTGTGTGAGGATCTACGTCTCTTACTCGCTGACACTTCTGATTTCCGACACAGCACTCGCAGAAGGGTGACATCACACACACTTACCTCGGACCGGTCCTGGACGCCAATTGGTTACGCGGTTGTTAGGTACCGTCTGGAATGTCCCCTGAGGATTCCGGGACGAGAATAGGGATAGCAAAGAGATAATTGGTCCTTCTGAAGCAGTGTAAGCACATTCATTTCAACATTACAGTTGTCCAATCAGGGCGCCACGATTAAACTAGTGAAAACGCAACTCGGACATAGCTGGTGCGTTGCACTGCACTCACGCGCTTCACGCCTCTGATATACTCCCATTCTCCTTCGCGCATGCGGCTCCACTTCATTCTCTACCTATTTGAGCCTACAGTCCCGAAACTCGCATTCATCTTGGTCATTCCATGTCAGCGATAACGCGGACAGTCATGGTTTTCTCCGCTCGTTTGCTAATGTGGTATTTGACAGGAAAGGTAGCGAACATAAGCGATCCTCATCAGGGTATATTGTATACTAATGAAGGAGTACGGATCGAAGCAGTGGTGTTCAAATTGTGTTCTTTGGATCTCGGTCGTAATCAGTTATTTTTAAAGGTAATTTTTACCGCTTAGTGACTTGCCCACCGAGTCCCCTCTCTGTGCAGCTCAATGGAGTTCTCTTGCCTCACCGAGTGCAACCGGTGACGGGGTCACGCACCTCGCTTCTTATACGCTCCACCATAGCAGCTGCAGAAATAGGTAAGATTCACATTGGCTTTAGCTGACCATGCACCATTCCGTTGCTCTTGGTTCTCCTGAAATCAAATGTTTACTTTACGCCGGAACGTGTCGCAGCACAAGGACCCAAGTTGCGAATATAACCATTGGTTGGAACAAATATCATCAACCATGTGCATGAGCTCTGATATCCATCTGTCCACACAGCTTAGACCTCTCTTATGGGGTGTATGGCGCACACTACTTCTGCATCCATTTTAATGCGCCTATGTCTGCGTCTCCCAACCTTTCTTCTTCTTTTCTTCCTCTGGCGTTGGCATATTCCGGTGTTGCGCCTCACTGTGGCTTTCTTTGTATTCTTATACTACTCACCTTCGGAACAGTAGTACCTGCTTCCAGCCACCACAATTGCAGTATGCGATTTTAAACAACTGCATTGAGCCTGTAGATCTAAAGTATTTTTTTGCAACACAGCGAAACAACCCGACTGTTCAACCCAGTATCAAATGCTCTGGGAGAGCACAACGTGAGACAAGCAATGTGTGGTTGGCTAGCGTCAAAGAGTGCACCATTGTTCATCTGCGAGATAACGAAGAACAACCTAATTGGGCAGCAGATAATATTTACTAGCTTTCAAAGTAGCTATCGACACATACCAATGAGTACTAGTCCTTATTCAAATAGTTACATGCATGATACGCGGGGGGAGAGTAGAGGAAGAGAAGCACTAAGTAGTCATCGACTTTGAATGAGGTTTGCGTCCGGTCGAGGATCTCAAAGGGATTACATTCCCAGTGAGCGCGGTATTTCTTAACAAACCTGGAAAGCGTAGCCGTAACGTAAAATAAGTACCTAGCAAGCATTTGAATGAAATTGATCACAACCACCGGCTTTTGGTTTACTCCAAACTTACGTTCTGACGTGTTACATCAAGTGTAAAATCGAGGGATGCTGTTGTATGAGCCCGAAGCCCATATGTGACCTCAGGTAACCGAAAGTGCGTTGGTGCCTCAGTCGAAAAAGGATGAAATTCTTACGAAAAAAACAAATGATGCTAAAAATAATTCCGTTAGGAATATTATACTTTATCGTTGTTTTCCTCTCGCCGCTCTGATTGGTGGAAATGAACGAGTTAATGCGATGTTAGCTTATTCTCGCGTTGGAACGATAAGCAAGCAAACTGGAAACAATCCGGAAATGTCCCATCATATGGTAGCACGGTGCGACCTCACTGCCGAAGGATTGTGTGACTCACATAGAGATGAACCGGAAATGTGTGTGCCACCGAGTGTACCCTGCAAAAGGTGAAATGTTTCCGCTTTATTCCCTATTTGGGACCATTTATACTTCGATTGTGCTATATTGTGTTCAGCTGGTGGGAATTGTTGTTGGACTGACTTTTTGGAATCCCCTTGCAACACAGAACACGCGAAGTGACCATAATCGCACGGGTTACAGTGTCGTGACAGGTGATCCAAGCAGCCTAGCCTAAGCGTAGAGCAATGCGGTCGCAGTCGAAACCAACCGTTTTGACGCGGACAACAGGGAACTTTAACACGTAACCAGTGGGTCATTTCCACTGTGCCAGTGACGCTCTGAAATCACCTTTCATTTGAACTTTCAGTATCGACCGGGTTGGATTGAGCCATCCTTATTTATAGTACGAGATTTCTTCTCTAACCCCTTCGCCACGCAGATTCGAACAAGACTCTCACTGTTGAATTAAACGATGCGAAAGATGGGTAACTGATTCGTGGATCAATTTTCGTTGGTCCTTTTATTCCTGCATCTTTTCCTGCTTACTTTTGCTTTCACGGGATCCTACACACACCGCAAATTGTTTTTCTATTTCCACCACATCATCTCTCTCATTGATGCTTTTCGGACGCTTGGGTGATTAGCATTCTTACAATCTACTCGACAGAGTGCTTGTGTCGGATGTTGATAAGTTAACTGTTTTTTCGTTTATCCTCATTATCTTTTCCTTATACTGTGTTCCATTGCCTTTGCTCTATCCAAGATAAATGTAAAAGGCTAGCTTGGAAGTTGGCTATTTTTGATTCAACACTGTACTCCTCGAATGGAGATTTATGCAAGCGTCGTTTGTGACTTTAGAACCGACACTCTCTGCTACAGCTTGGTCATAATTTAATTTGTGTGATTTGCTGACCACTTCCATAGTTTTTCTTCCCTTACCATTTCCAGCCACAGATGCTCACATTTTGCTCTTTACTTTCCCAAAATAGCTTGATTTTTTGTTGATTTTCTCTAGCTATTCGAACAACGAGAAAAGTGCCAGTGATCTATACTCATCCGCCATTTCTATGTGCCTAAACGAGGGTTGGATCTGCCTGAGCTTACGAATTTACATGCAACTGGCCTGCTGTCTTCGAACCGTCATAAGGAGCCCACGGTTCCAAGACGATTGCGAAATGGAACTCTTGCTTACCCGGTAAGGTTAATTTCTGCCGTTTCGTCACTATTTACTGCACTCGTTCATAGCTATTTTCAAGTCGAATGAAGCGTCTAAGTTTCTATGTTCATCTTTTGTTTCTGGCACCTGAACCACCTGTTCTGACGTGATCACATGAGTCAGTGAGTGCTAGTCTTCTAGCATGTCCATACCAAGCATAACGATTTTTCAATGAATTTATTCCTAAAATAGAATTACCAAGTTACACAGCTGTGTTACATTCCGTGGTCCATCGTGCTCCCCCATCTTCCATAGGCTGGCCTTTGTGGGTTCGCATTTCAACGCACCACTTGCATTATAATGGCCCACCATCTCCCATGGGGCACCAATTTGAATGTCGATAGTTCTTTTACTGTATAATGCCACTACTTTTACTATAGTGAAAGTGCAGTTTCCAGGTTTAGTTGTCTTTGTTTGTCGGTGACGGAAGCAAAGTTCTCTACCGCATCGTAGTTTGGTGATTTACTTGCATCTGTGCTCTGCTGAGCTGTTCTGCTTGGAACTCTCAAAGCACTGGGTTCTGTGATACGTTGGACCCACAATCTCACTCTCGACTGCAATTTGCTCTGAAGAAAATCCCGGTCCGTTCGACCACAGGGACCGTATCTGAATACTGAGCATGGAGAGCGATAAGAAAAATATTTATTGCTCTATCGTAGGTGAACCGGGCACATGCGCAGAATCACTTCGCTCATTCCTGTGCGGTGGCAGCATATTGCATAGTGCACTACATTTTATCCGGCTGTGATACGCTCCCTCTGCCTGTAGTCCGCAAAGTGGGTGTCAAGGAATCTCTTAAATTCCTTTCGGGTTTTACGTGAGCTTGCAATATTCAATGTTATTCACCTTCATAGTCACTCGTGCAACGTAGCTCAGTGGAAGGCAAGACAAATTCATTCTCAGCGTTCGCCTCTTCGGAAGCTGTAAAGTTACTCGTTGACACTCTCCGTGGGAGACAGAACCTGGGGTATTTGCGCTCACCTTATTTAGCGGGAAACACGAACGCCACTAGTTGTCTTGCGGCGGCTCATGGCTCCGGTTTGGAGCAGGAGCGGATCCCGTCATGTTTGCTGTTCTCATCCGAAGCTTGCTGGATCTTGCCCTGCTTGGAACTGACGGAACGTCAAGACATCTACTGGTGGATCAGTTATTGACCAGTCTCCCGCGACCGTTCACGGTACAGTTGGACTGATTGTAGCGGATGATGGAATAGCTCGCGCAAGACATCAGTGACCTTCGCGTTCAGCTCTTGATGGGGCAAACAGGAGGATATTCCTTCCTTTGCAAAAAACCGGGACATTAGTAGCGACGATGCTTGGCGTAGTGTGCTCCGGCTCGTGTATCAAACAAACGTATCAAATTTGTTATGTTTTCACCGGTCAAAGGATGTGTATTCTGACTGCTGAATAATGGGGCGATCGAAGCGTTTGTGTAAGTAGACCGGACGATGGAATGGTGTCTGACTTATACAGCTGCTGCAATGTCCCTGCTCAGCCATTGACGATGCGAAAAACTTCACTCATGCTCCATAGTCATGGGGGGCTGTTAGCGGTTACGCACTGTGCATAAATGATATGGCAGAACACGTCTTGCGAATCCGAGGACGGAAACAAAGACTCATCTTCTTCTTGCCGCCAGACGCGTATAGGACCATATTGCGAGCAGATTTCCTTTAGTCCAAGAAGGCTATGGTCAACATAAAATATGGACAGCTGTTGGCTGAACACCCGGCTTTACCATTCATTGGCCTTGGATGAACCATCTTCTTGCACTCAGTTGTTGCTTCCTGAAATATGAGTCCGGCCTTTCAGTCAGCAGCCAGCATGATCCTGGATCTGAGCTCTTGTCATTGACTACTGTTGATCAATTGGGAAGACTGGGGAAAAACGGTGTTTTTCTGTCAGTGAGAAATAATACCAATTCAAAAGGATGCATTTTGGATTGTCGGAAGCCCCGTTCACCTTTCAGCATCTAATGATACGCTTACTGGGCGATTTGGTGAACGTGGCGGTATACGGAGATGATATAGTGACATATATCCAATCGGAGACGGAACACAGCGGTTATATCGAACCAATCTTGGAACGGATTCAACAGTCGGGATTCCGTATAAACGTGTCGAAATCACATACTAAAAAGACTTCCGTGACATTATTGGGTCATAAAGTGGGATAAGGTGAACTGAAACCACTGCCTGAGAAAATATTAGCAATACTAGGCACCCCCAGTCCCAACCTCAAAGGGGATTCTTGGGCCGTGTAGAGTAGTACAGCAGATTGCTGAAACATAATAGAAAAATAGTTCACTTATACTGCAGAATCCCCAAAACCTTTTGATGGCAGTCTGCAAGCAATGGTGAAACAGGAACTGACCTTCGAGTTACCTATTGCAGTGCAGATGTTCACGGTGGCCACTGATGCCAGCGACGTTGGAACCGGTCATTTTCTGACAAAGCCACGGACGATTGAGTACATCACCAGAATTTTGACACAGGCAGAACGCAAATGTTTAACCGTTGAGAGTTAATATCTCCCAATCCCCTCGGCGTTAGATAACTGTTGGTCATACCTGTTAGCTCAGCGATTCCACTTCGAAACTGACCACAAGCCACGGGGGAATAGCTGTCGCGATGGGGGCTGCGCCTTCAGCAACATGATTTCACGATACACCACGTGTCGGGAAAGCATAACTAAACTGCGGATTTTCTTATCACGTGTAACAAACGAAGTTAACCTAACGAGCGTTGCTTTCGGTATAATTGGTATATTGTTAGAGCAGGATCCAGCACAGTTGACATTCGTACAACGATGTAACAAAGTCTTACACAGTGTGGTAACTGCACAAGCAACTTGTCAATGGATGTTTAACAGGTACCAGCATAAATAGCTCAGACTGCAAGAAATTTGCGAGAGGTGCAAACGAATGGGGCGCGAATCTTTATATGGATGCCAGAAGAAGCAACATTTCGGTACCCGCGATTCATGCGAATTGAAGGTGAAAATTATGGATTTCTTGTCACGAAATAGCCCATACCTGTTTTTCCAGGACCTATGACTTGTGAGACAACGCAGCTACTGCCGAGGCATGAAGAAGGACGTCGGGATACATGTACCTTCGTGCGAGCCGATAGGCGCGAACCACAACAACCATCGCTGTCTATTCCGGACTCTGGCGCCTTAAACTCTTTGCTCATCGCCGCCTACCAAACATAGCTGGTGTCGTGTGACATCAGCGTGTCCACAACGGTTATGTGCGCAGATAAGTACCAGGCAGTGATAATCAGGCAAGTACTCTAAAACGACAGAGCGCTGAATAAGTTGCGTTGGATTGGACATGTACTATGTATACCCGGTCGCCGCTTACCGAGAAGGGCTTTGTATTGTTTGCCGGATGTAGGCGCAGGCGGATGCACACGACCGATATTGCGGGTGCAACATTCGCCGAGCACTCACTCGACAAAATCATTGCTGAACGGTTGATAAGAATTCCAGTTTCATCCAATTACAAGGAGTGAAGTTCCAGACTGATGAAAGTGGTGCTTTACTCTAAGCTAGTCACACCGCTCATCTTGAAAAACTAGTATAAACTCCACAAAAGGTTACCGACAGAAATTCGGTTAGTGACATTTGATACCTTGGAATACATCTAAAACTAAACGGAAGGTTATCGTTTCAAAAGTCTTTGTTAATAACCGTCAACGTTTTTACCAGGTGATGTTTCTTCAGTGCAAGTAAACAAGCGGCATTTTATAACAACCGCAGTTAACTTGCACACTGAAAGTAATCCACACGAATTTTATTGGTACAAGGTTATGCAAGTCAAAGGTCATAAGGAATCCGAACACTGACCTCGCCAGGATAGGTCTAGGGTCGTCACGAAACTTGTCCGTTTGCATAATCTGTGTTTCAGCCGTTGGGGAATGTGATACAAAAGATGTTGTCGGAGGGCAGTTACAGGTGTTGAGCTATCATAACTTGTCTGTTGAGAGGGAATTGGTCAGATGACTAATGGAGAACGCCGTCGATGCCCAGGGTCCTTGTTGCGGAGTGTTTTTAGTCCATCTCAATTTTAGATCCATCCGCCGACGCTCATCAAACTTGCCGGAGTGACTCGGCGCCGAGATCTTGACATCGCTACTCCGTTTCTTCCATTTACGCAGTCGTTTGCTTTGGGAATTTCCACCTCCTCAACATTTAGCTTTTGTTAGGCTGATCGATACTCACTACTGATAATCTCAGTAATTTCGAAGTCAGTTTCATGCTCTATCTTACTCGTGCATTGCTACCGCCTCATCTCCGAACAAATCTCTAGACTCGGCTACCGGGATATGCGCAGCCTTTGTTCTGGGATTCTCGTGCTTATTTCCCTCTCGGTTTGGCCTCTATACACATCCACATAATCTTTGCATCGGATTTTATAAATGCAATTAGTTGTTCTGTCTAAAGGGAGCGAATTCTTTAAATGCACAAGTATCGACCGTAGCATTTGACTTTTTTTTGGAAAACTTCCGTTGTCTCTTTATTCAACACGCTCCGAATCGCTTCCGAAATCCCTTTTCTATACGGAATACCGACCATCGGTATCCACTCTGTGGTTAGTCTGGAATGTGGATTAATGCAATTCTGTATCTGACGTTTCACCAGTCGCCTCGACGATCCGCTAGCTACCACGTTTTGCGCTGTTTTTCTTTGCGCAGCTTCTCCATCTTCTTTCCACGTTGAGACAACTCACGCTTAAACTTGCTTCAAGTGACCTGAAATATTGATTCTTAGTCCAGATGTTTTCGTTGGTTTGTGGCACATTGTCGTTTTAGCGTTCCTTTCGATCCTGAAAACCGGACAGTCAAAGAACGAGATTGTTCCGCTCTACGACTCGAGTCTCACAGGGAACTTTATCGTATCGCATTCTATCAATACAAGAATTCATCTTTACCATCCCTTTTTATAATTGCAAAATCATCGTTTGCTTAGCGTCATCAT